TATCGCCCCATATTATAGGTTGCCAAGAGGTATAGGTCCGAAAGTGTGCATTCATTTACAACCCTACTTTCCTAAAAAGTCTGGGACGCTGTGCAAAATATAAATAAAAACAAAATACAATTATGTGCAAATCATTTAAACCCTATATTTCATTGAAAATTGTATAAAGATAATAAACATTTATAAACATTTCGGATGTTGAAACTGAGAAATGTTATTGTTTATTGAAAAATATTTGCCCATTTTGAATTTGATGGCAACAACACGTTCCACAACACATTGGCAACAAAAGGCTTGTAAAGTTGCTTAATGCTAAAAAAACACCTGGTGGTTGATTGGCAACAGGTCAGTAACATCACTGAGTAGAAAAAGAGCATCCCAGAGAGGCTGAGTCTTTCAAAAGTAAAGATGGGGAGGGGTTCACCTCTCTGTGAAAGACTACACGAGCAAAGAGTGCAACAATTCAAGAATAATGTTTCTCAATGTAAAAGAGCAGAGAACTTTTAATTTTTATCATCTGCAGTAAATAATATCATTAAAAGATTCAGAGAATCTGGAGAAATCTCTGTATGTAAGGGACAAGGCCAAAAAACAGGATGTGCTGGCTATGATTTTTGGGCCCTCAGGCGGCACTGCATTAAAAACATACATGATTCTGTAGTGGGAATCACTGCATGGGCTCAGAAACACTTCAGAAAACCACTGTCTGTGAACACAGTTCATCACTGCACCCACAAATTCAAGTTAAAACACTAAAATGCAAAGACAAAATCATATATAAACAGGATCCAAAAATGCTGCCACCTTCTCTGGGCCCAAGCTCATTTAAAATGGACTGAGGACGCTGTGTCCTCCGGGCTAAAGACCACTCAGCTTGTTATCAGTGCACAGTTCAAAAGCCAGTATTCATGATGGTACAGGGTGACATTAGTGCCCATGGCATGGGTGACTTGCACATCTGTGAAGGCATCATTAATGCTCAACGATATATACATGTTTTGGCAACATATGCTGCCATCCAGACGACGTCTTTTTCAGGAAAGACCTTTTTTATTTCAGCAAGACAATGCCAAACCACATTCTGCATGTATTACAACAGCATTGCTCCATATTAAAAGTCTGTGTGCTAAACTGATATGCCTGCAGTCCAGACTGCCCACTAATAACATTTGGCGCATTTTGAAATAGGAAAATACGACAAAGGAGACCCCAAACTGATGAGCAGCTGAAATATTATATCAAACAAGAATGGGAAAATATTTCACTTTCAAGACTACAGCAATCGGTCTCCTCAGATCCCATACGCTTACAGAATGTTGTTAAAAGAAGAGGTGATGAAACACAGTGGTAAACATGCCCCCGTCCCAACTTTTTTGGAATGTGTTTCTGGCATCAAATTAAAAACGGACATATATCTTTCAGAAAACAATAACATTTCTCAGTTTCAACATTTGATACGTTGTCTTTGTAGTATTTTCCTTCAAAAATATGGTTTACTTGATTTGCATATCATTGCATCCTATTTCTATTTACATTCTGCACAGCGTCCCAACTTTTTTTGGAAATGGGGTTGTACACTGACAGCACACCTGCTCAAACAGAAGTGGTTCTGCGACCGTGAAGCTGATTCGAAAGGTCTACCTCTCCTTTCTGAAAGCCGGACATAAATTCCTCCTGTCCACTCACTGCTTTAATGCTAGAGCTGGTGAACCGCTCGCTCGCTGGCTGCCGGTGTATGAGGGAGAGCGTTTTAATGCCCCATGCTGTCGTTACAGTGCTCATCTGTCTGTGAGCAAACATGGCTGCCATCTCTATGTGGAGCTTTTAGCTCATGAGGCTCCTCTACTTGCTAGAGAGTAAACAGATTTCGTCGAGCAGGGGAGCGGCTCAAATTGATTTGCTTGCTCTAACAATTTGTTCTTGCTCTGCACTGGTTAAATGACTCCAACCATTGATCCATTGACATGACACGTCGGCCTGTATTTATTTTGTTTTTTCTTTTTTTTCTCTCTGGCTTTCTATTACACACCTAAAGAATATTCACAGTGAAAAGCCAAACAGTTCTCCCTTCAAGTACAAGAGAACTGAAATCGTAGTCTGGCTTTGTTTGTCTTAAAAGTCTCTTAGCCATCGATGGGCAATAGTTGGTTATTACTAATGAAAAGACAATGATCTCTAGATTGAACCTGGACAGTAGAATTGTTACACTGCTCTGCTAATGGGATGTTTTAACTGAGTTAGTTACCATGGACACACAGAGAAAAAACAGAAAAACTTATAACAGACTTATAATAGAAGTCCATGGACAGTTGCTGAATTCCTTTAGAAAACATTTTTGGGGAACAACTTCAAGAATTTTTGGAAGTGTTGATCATCTTGGTCATCATCATAACAAAAACTATGAATTCAAAATGAACTATTATTCGCAGTTTCCATATTCATATGTCCTGTATGCGAATCTTTTCCATCCATCTTTTTTCAAAATGGAATCAAAAATTCAGTTTTCTATTATGTGGACCCATTATAGTTTTGTCTAAATCTTCTAAAATTAAGAAATGTTCTAATTTCTGTTAGACAAAGCCACAGTTACAATTTTGAATTTGTGCTATGTACTGCAGTCCCATATTTCAAACATTTCATCCAAAATTCAGCAACTGCCCACAGTAAGTGCTTTGACTCGGTGGTGTGTAGGAAAGCACCTCAAACTAACTGTCTGTGGTAATCAAAAGATATGATACAGCACTGACAGACAGAGATTTGGTTGAAAAACACCTTAACACCTAAAATTCCTTAATACATGCATTATTCAATATTCAACATAACCACCTAAGTGGGTGAACTACAACACTGGACTGTTTTTTTTTACTCGTCGGATCCGCCTGCCAAAATAATGTTGGGAATTTTGACTTTAAATTTCTGAATTTTTCATTAAACTTCTTAACACTAGAATTACATTAAAAAAAACTAACAGTGAGGAACAGTGCAAATCAAAAAAAAAACAAAAAAAACAAACAAACTTACAAACAGTAGCATTTTTATACCTTACCAATATGTATTCTCAAGGTATTCTGAATGTATTGTATCAGAATACATTACTGAATACATTTATGGCAGTGTATTTAGTATTCAGCCATCCCTACTTTACCAAAGAAACTACTGAAACAACTCAATACCTTACACATGTTGTGTTTCTGTACCTGTCCAGGAGGAATGCTGCTAATTCCGCCTGCAATTTTGCATATAATAATTCTCTCCATCTTGGAAAAGCGCTTCCAGTGTTGACTCTTGTTCTAGCATGTTTGTTGTCATTAAGTTTTGTAGCAGCACAATGTCCTTATTTATTTATTTATTTTTTGTTATGTTCTACATATTTACCATATTATTTGTACTAGTAAAGAAACTGAAGAAAAAACAAACTTTTATATTCTATATTCTGTAGGTGAATAGGTCCAAAGAAGTCTGCATGCTAAGGATGTACGCTGTATACAACCTTAATTAGACCTCCATCCTTTCATACATTTCCAACTGTTTTCAGTGCTCACTCGTCTGAGTGCTGAATTCCTGGCTGAGCTTGTGCTCATGTGGGAATTGGAAAGGCAGATGGTAACAAGCCCAGACATGAAGAGGAACAAACAGCTGCTCACTAAAGAACACAAAACTCTAGACAAAAAGAGAAAAGAAATTATTAATACAAGAAAAAAGGAAAACTTCAGTCATTTGGTTAGCGAGAGGGGAGCCTGCACGTCTGTCTGCTTCAGAATGTTAACGCTCGCTGGTGTGAGCAAGCTGACCGGCACTGCTGAACACAAGCTGGGACCTGTGCCCCCCACAGTGTGATTTCCAGAACATATCTGTCTTAGTTTCAAACTTCAGTAAGTGCAAATGTCCCTGTGTCTCAACTTTTATACGGATGCCATCAGGCTCTACATCTTGTTGCAGCCCTTTGATCCTGAGACTGCAGATCAGTTAAGCTATTGAGAGGGTCAAGGAAGTGTACTGTCCCCACACACCCTCTCCAAGTCATTCACCTGATCAGTAGGTGGGGCTAGAACACTGTACAAACTGACTATAGTACACATCGTCCCTTAGCAGAGGAAAGAGAAGCACTTTCAGTTATATTGACCATGACATAACAATAAGCTCACTGGTCATTACAATACTAAACGAAGTCCAGATGGAGCCCAGCAGTGATATCTTATGCACTGAACACCCTTAATGTATACTCAATATAAATTTCAAAGCATGGCTTTAATGGTGCGTATTCCTCAAGGGAAAATGAACCTGAAATGCAGCACTTGATTGTTTTATATGCTGAAATAGACTCTGTAAATGTACAGAGAAAGATTAGTGAAGTCTGTAATCTGCAGGTGTTGCTATTTTCTATAGAATCCTAAATTTCTTTTATGCCAAATGGCATCGCTGGCTAACTGATAGGGATGGAGATGATGGAGATGAGTTGGTAGGTTTGTCTACAATGACCATTTCACATGAAACCACTTTGAATGACCTTGAATAATAATAAAAAAAAGGTAGAGTTCCCCTTTAACCCCTTAAAATCTCAAGCTTATTACATACTAAGGCTTATTATTCAGTAACAACAGGGACTTCAATGGAAACTTGTTGAGCTATTCCTAGGTTATAGAAGTGTGTATTAACTTCTTGTCCCTGAAATAGATAAATCCAGAAAAATGGCCTGGATGTACAGTATGTCCAACAAATAAAAACTGAGGCCATACTAAGAACCTCAGGGCAATATCAGGGGCATTTATCATGTATTCATTTATTTATTATCAAATTCATGCAAATATATGCATTTATGCATTCAATCCATGCATGTAAATGAAACCACTTTGGGTGGAAGATACCCCTTTGAAGCAGATCTAAGGCCAGCTCTTCCAAGCTCCACCATATTCATTGCATCATGTATGAAAATGACCCAATTAAAATGCAATCTAAGATTTTTTAAAACCTTTTTTGTGTGTGCCTTCACAGAAACTCACCCATAAAGTTGAGGTAGCCCTCTCCTCCTAGGCCGTGGGTAAGCAGCCGGATCATCTTGTGCAGCTGGATGCCCCGATCAATGATTGGGTTCATGGGAATTAGGGTGCTCATGTTGGTGTACATCTCCTTATCCATCAGCCAGAAGGCCAGGCTCTTGTCTCCCACCAGAGCCTGTCAGAAAGTCGCAGGATTATGAGAAATGAACACATACGGTACATTAGTTGTGTGAGTAATGATTATTGAACCGGCTTATGGATGTCAGCTGTCACTGAAGGTAGGCCTATACTATGGGTAAGCATCTACGGTATGCACTGAACCTGTTGTCAGGCTAACCACAGTCACACGGAGTTAGATAAGATCATGACATGGATTAGATTGTGTAGAAACACCTAAGGACATGAAAAGATGATCTCAGAACAAGCCACATTCTCAAAGCGATGCAGTGTATCACTTCATGTTTTGCTGCAGCTGTGGAATTATAAGAAAAATATCTACTGCATTTTGGCAGCACTAATGCTATAAATACAGTGCTTTAGAGGAATATTTCAGTCAAAAATAATAATAAAAAAAAATAAGAAAAATTTAATTAAAGTGAATGAGCACCAGTTGCATTACGCAAATCGAGTCATGCTAATATGTGGCTACTACCTTACAATGCTTGTCTGCAGAAAACATTTATTTACCAGAACATTTCACAGAAGCTTCAATAACAAAATACAATATCCAACTTTCAACATCCACCATTTGCCTTTTTAACAGCTTTGATTCTTTTCGGAGACTTGCTTTCAGTTTTTCAAAGAAACCTGTAAGGATGTTTTTCCACACCTGCAAAGTTCAGTCTTAGAAGTTGGTTGCATTTTCTGCTTCTCACAATCCAAGTAATACAATTATAAATGAGGCTCATTAGTCCATTACACCTTACTCAGCATCTCAGACATCTATTTTTTATGTTCTAGAGAAAATTTTCTTCTTTTTTGTTCCTTTTCTTTTCTCAGTAACAGCTTCTTGACAGCTACACATCCTTTCAGACCCTTTGCCTTGAGTTATCTTCTCATAATGTAAGGATGGACAGAAACACATGCATTTTTTCAAATCTGAAGCAAGTTTTGGTGGTATAACAGGTCTCACATGGTTGTTAGGAGTCCCATTTTCTCTCTATTGTTTAATCATTTTTTGAACTCTAGTTTTGAAAATCTGTTTTGTCACTTATTTTCCTTTAAAATTCCTCTTTCTTGTGCAAGTGGATTATACCTAATCACCTTAGAAATATCTCCTTTTGTCAGTTGAGAACAGCTACAACAGTAATTCATTGGTTTAAAACTGGAGGGATGGAAGTGTTAAAGAGGCGGCAGAGTTTACAGTAGAGTGGACTAATTAAATATTGGTGGATTTGATATTACACTTCATTTTGGAGACTTTGATGTAATTTTCTGTTAAATATATGTTTTCTGCCTTTTTTTTCCTTGTCATCACTTGTACTTAAAGGCTCTTTTGAATAGATCTAAAAAAAGTCTCTGACTTTTGCTCTGACAAAATGAGGTACTAAATTCATTTATGCATAGCAGGTATTTACTCTTACTTCTACAGGTAAACAGAGCAGCACGTATGTGAACAGCGACATGTGCGTCATTGCTCCAGCTTGTTGCTGATTAAATTAAGGGTGTTATAGCTCCAGGAACTGATCTTTAGCACATTCCCACAACAAGTGCAGCTGACACCTGTGTGTATGCTATCAGGGGCGTACTGCCAGTTGTTCACACTGACTGTCATACTCATTTGCAAATTTACATGTGCTACGACCGTTTTCCCTACATGTCCCTTGTTAATAATGACACTGCTACAGCTACAGTTGAAACATATTCTATGCTGAGACCTTAAAAGTAATATGCAATAAAAATATCACAGCCGCATTCAGCATAATGTATTCAAATGCAAACTTTATAGCAGTGGCACTTCAGTAAAAACACTGACTATGAAGCAAAGGTATGTCCAAAGACTTGAGGGTGCGCTCTTCCTAAATGGCTATTGGCATGAACGTACGGTTCTACGAAAAATCTTCACATTCACACACTCTGACAGCCCTGGCATGCACTATTCAATATAAAGCTCCAAAATGCATCATTTAGAGCTTTGCCATAGTAGAACCACTTTTGGTTCGATGAAGAAACTTTCAGTGGATGGTTCTACAGAGAGGCGTGTTTGTAAATGAGATGTGGGTGTGAAGAACATTTTTAACTTTCTTAAATTTTAAAGAACCTCTACATAATGTAAAGGCTCCAATTAAATGCACGTCCAAGCCAAGAACAACTTTTCCCATTAATTACCTAAACTGTGGTGGCCTGCCATAGACTAATTTAACCCGCCACAGTTTCATAATGAACCGAAAGCATCTTTGCACTTCTCATAATAACATTAACAACGTTGTGCTCTGCCCCATTGCTTCTGCAAAGCTTCTGTCACTACCATTCAGCCCCTCCTCCCCTCCTCGGCTGTACACGCGTATGCGCACACACACGCACCGGACTGTCTTGTCACCTGGCTGCATCCGAGACACGAGGCATTTGAGGACACAGTATTGTTTAATTTGAGGTAAGTAATGTTAACTTTATCCACTAGTCCAAACACAATCTTATTATTATCAATGTAAGATAGCAAACAGATAATGTCAATGCAGAAGTGATCATTGAAAATTAACATTAATCTTCAGCTTAGTTAGGGGACATTAAAGTCAATCTCTGTTTTAAAGCAGCACTGAAGCTAAGTTGACATCAATGTTGCTAACACTGGTAGCATATATTCATACTTTAAAATATGACTGCATGCTCTGGGCGAAGTGGAAAAAAGTGTCCTTGCAATCAGCACACAGTTCAAAAGCCAGTGTTCATGATGGTATAGGGGTGCATTAGTGCACATGGCATTGGGTGATGTACACATCTGTGAAGGCACCATTAATGCTCAACGATATATACGTTTTGGAAACATATGCTGCCATCCAGACAACGTCTTTTTCAGGGAAGGCCTTGATTATTTCAGCAATGCCAAACCACATTCTGCATGTATTTTAACAGCATGGCTCCGTATTAAAAGAGTCTGGGTGCTAAACTGGCCTGCCTGCAGTCCAGACCTGTCACCACTGATAACATTTGGAGGGTTACGAAATGAAAAATTTCGGCTGTTGAGCAGCCGATATCCAATATCAAACAAGAATGGGAAAACTTTTCACTTTCAAAACTACAGCAGTGTCTCCTCAGTTCACTAAAGCTTACAGAGTGTTGTTAAAAGAAGAGGTGATGAAACACAGTGGTAGTTACGCCCCCAGGCTATTTGTAATGTTAACTAATCAAATTGAAGTTACCTCTACTGTTTTTAGCTTAAAGTTTGCACTATGTATGCTATGTATGATCTAGTCATTTTTTTGTTTTGCCCATTTGTGAACTGTTAAACTCCTTTACCATGTTTTGGTGTGATCTTTTTGCTGCATCATCACCATTCATACCCATATAACAAGTGTGTTTATGATTAAATTACTAAAGCACAAAATTGTTTAGAGCACAAAGTTCTTCATAGATCTAACCTTTCAATTTTGCTCTCAAAGTGCAGCAGATTGGTGCGTTTAACTTTAAAATATACACTGACTATTGCACAATAGTGTAAGCGATGATATGAGTGTTAAGGCGGTAAAAATAACACGAAAACTTAAAGGCATTTTCACGACACATGACAATCACAATATCACAATATTCCACTTTTGGAGGCCTGCAAACAAGTTAACAAGCAGAATGGACAAATGCACCAGCAAAACAAGGAACTATGAACTATGATCGACTGCATCTGGGGCAAGTGATAAAGACTACAAACAACTATAACAACTAAGTCAGCATTTGTTAAAAAAAAATCAGTTGTTAAAAATAAATGAGTAAAACTGATAGTGGCATTAGACTGACAGTATGTGCAGTTTAAGCAGTTACTATACACTGGTTATTCTTGTTTACAGCTCCTCTATAACTGGTTTAAATCTTTTGTGATACATGCAGTTGTTTAGTATTGTACGACTGCTGATGATATAAAGATATACTTTAACAATCGCATTAATGATTACAAATCATACTATTGTCCACATTACATGAGTGTTGTCATTTTCCTATGATGGTGGTTCTAGAAGAATTGGTATAATTGGGTCTTTGGGCTATGTGTGAGCACCTCTACCAGTCTTTCATGCAAATTCAACAACTGGTTCTGTTGCTACCGCAGGACCCCACAGACCCTATGGCGAAGAAGATGATGATGATGATGATGAAGGAAAAGAAGGAGAAGAGTTTGTTTTAGCTGTGGGGCTGGAATTGTACAAACAAGGTGGATGTGTTCATTTCTAATTTCCCCCTCTCCCCAAGAGTCCCTCAACCTGCGGTGACATCAATTTCCATCCCAAATGATGCATTGATTACATTTGCTCCTCTCTGCCCTGTGTGTAGAATGGGGGTTTGAGGTTGCAGTACCTGGTCGTGGCTCTCTGCATACGCAATGCAGTTCTCTCCGTATCGCCTGTTGGTCAGCGTATGCACGATATTCCCCATGTTCCAGTCCTCATCCTTGAATTCCTTCAGGATCTGAGGAAACACATGGAGGAATAAACATGTTGATTGTTTTTTAAGGAGGGAAAGAAAGAAAGAAAGAAAGAAAGAAAGAAAGAAAGAAAAAGAATAAATGAATAACAGAAAGAAAGAAACAAGAGGATAGAAAGTCACAAAGAAGGAAAGAGAAAAAAAACAAATGAAAAGAGGAAACAATCAAACTAACAGAAAGAAAGAAGAGCACAGAAAAAGTCACAAAGAAAAGAATGAGAAAGAAAAGAACGATGAAAGAAAAAAAAAATCACCATAAATAAAAAAAAGCAAACAAAGAAACAGTCACATTAACACAAAGGAAGAAAGAACGAAAGAAAGAAAGAATAAAAGAAAGAAATACGAAGATAAAAAGTCACAAAGAAAGAAAAAAAAATCTCCATAAATGAAAAAGGAGACAAAGAAACAATCAAATTAACACAAAGAAAGAAAGAAAGAAAGAAAGAAAGAAAGAAAGAAAGAAGGATAAGAGTGAAAGACAAAGCCACAAAGAAAGAAAGGCAGAATGAAAAAGAAGGAAATCCCAGAATAAAGGAAAAATAGAAAGAAGAAATTACAGAAAGAAGGAAAGGAAAAAAAAGAGGAAGAAGTCAGTATATTGGATTCTGACTGATGCCAGTTCTGCACTGCTTTGTAAAAGCGTGTGTCTTATCCTTTCTTTCCATTCACTCCATCTGCTCAGTTCTCAGATATAAATGCACACGCAGGCACGTGGCTGTATCTTTGCTTTCAGCAGAGCTGGCTTTCATCTCTCACTGCCTGCCTGCTGGATAGTCCTGCTGCAGCTCGGCTAACTGATAATGCATCTCAAGGTCAGGATTACAGTGGAGAAGAGATGGGAAAGTAATAAAATCTCTAGAAATGATGAATGATCACTACTGTCTTACTGAACAGCAATACACTGCCTGACAAGAGTCTGCAAACTGCAAAACAACTACAAAACTGCCTATTAGCTACATTTGTGCCAATACTACTGACTACAGCTGAAAGGAACACTGTTACACTATATCCATACTACCAGGATGCAATTCCCTCCTTCACTGGAATCTGCCTTTCCCTTTCTGACACATTTCATCTCAAAAGTATGATATTTACCCTGAACAAATAACATGACCAGCCAGGTGTGACTTACATACTACACACAGATCTTGGACTGCAGTTTCCTCTGCACACCTGGAGCCTTGATTCCACAGTGTCTACAGATTCAAAGTGTCACAGCTGAGCTCATGAAGAGATCCTCCCTGATACAATGGTTCCCTTGGAAATACACCTTTATATGAAAGGAAAATGTGATATGTTTTGACTTTAAGCTACACGTCATTAGTATACTGCACAGCTAAGGCTATCCTGTATCAGAGACACTCAAGGCATATTTCAATGCACTGGTTTCAACTATATTAAGTCATTTAAATTCAATCCTTCATTAAGGCTACTTTATTTTGCTCTGTTTATACCACTGTCATAGAGGGCACATAAAGAGGTATTTTCCACAACTCACAGCAGAAGCACAACATAAATGTCAGCAGTGTGGAACTATTTTAAAGTGGAAAACGAAAATAGCCAAGCAAGGCACACAAAGGAGTCGCACGTCTAAGAGAAAGTTGCACATCCCATTTACAAAAATGGGGTCCTTATAGCACCATCAGCTGTAACGTTCCTTAGGGAACCAATCGTGGTTGGCATTGCTCCAAAGAGGCACTTTTATGCCACTTTTATTATTTGTAATAACCTTTTACTGATTTTTTGTAGTCAACATGCAATCAACATTCTCTGCCCATGGCACAAAAGAAGAAGGATCGGAGGGGAGGCTAAAAATATGTAAGTAAACAAGAAAAAAACTAGACAGTATATAAAAGTATTCAACATAAGCAGAATGTCAGTGATTACAGAGCCTTAACATAGTAAATGGCATCAGTCCAAAAACGAATAGTTGCTGCACTGGCATTATAGAATCTGGCTGTCGCTCGCTCCAGTATTAGAATGTCCAGCAAATATCCACATCAGAACTGAGATGAAGAAAGGTTAGTTTCAAACCAAATTTTCAAGACTGATTTCTTGGCTGTAGTTATGGCTGTCATAATAACTTATTTTGTTGTACACTAAATATCAAATTAGAGTCATCAAGAAGCATAAGTAAAGTTGGGGACAAAGGAATGTTGACAGATAAACAGCCAGACAAGATTCGTGTGACATACAGCCTTCACAATTAAACATGACCAAAACATATGAACATAATCTCCAACTAAACCTGACATCTCTTACAATTTTAAGCTATTCGAAAGCTTCATCAAAAAAGCACAGCAGGGACTGATGTAAATCCTGTAAGCTAATTCAAAGTAAATTAACTCAGGAGACAAATCTTTGAAAGACGCAAAAACGTTACGCCACACCACAGTCCAATTTGGGCAAATATTGAATGTGTGCAAGTCTCTGTTTCAGACCTCTACTGCACTGGCACTTTTATTTTGAAAGGAATGGCAAAAATGAAACTTTACGCAGTTTCTCCTTAACTTCAAATGCAGTTGTTTGGTGTCCAAAGGTTTTTTTTTTTTCATAACAGAAGTAGTACAACTTAAACAAGTACTAGAACTCCACAGACTTGTACTACTTTTGTAGCTACAGTTATCTTACAGATCCAGTGCAAAAATAAAGCAAGAAGCAAGCTTTGGACAACGTTCACGTCTTGGCTGATCCACTATGCTTGGGGTAAGGGGGACATCAGATAAATTAGATACTTTCGCTTACTATTGTGTCAAAAGAGTAAATGAGAGGGACAAATATTTTCATACTCCCAACATCACCCCCTCAACCCCTCACACCTGGACCCCCATCCATAGTGTGCTGACTGACAGGAGTCCAGCAGCCCGTCATGCTGAAAGCACCAATGTGTTCACTGTGACTGGACTGGACAGGTGAGTGACACTCAGGGAAACCTTTTTATTACCTCACAGCTGCACAATCGATAGAGTAAAGATAGAGAAACAGATAGCAGGTGAACTGCAAACAATCACTACAGACTCAGCAAAGAGGCCAACTAAGGCCTTCAATCTTGTGTGTGACAGTCCCCCAGGGTGCATTCAGAGGGGCACAAAGAGTCCTGCACATGCTGAGTGGCCATTTTACAAATACGACTTGTTTTAAAATACGACCATGTCACTCTCAGGTGACAAAACTGCCTGGATTTACAGGAAACGAAAATAAGAAACTGTTCTCAGCCGGCCATTTGTAAACAGAAACGAGCATGTTCTTTTTCTACACACACTAGCAGTTTCAGATGGTCTTAGAGGGATTGTTGGTGAAAAATCAAATTACACAGTTTTCCCCCTTACCTGAAATGTAGTCGATCAGCCAAGACATGTTTGGTGTCAGAAGTTTGTTTTCAAAGTTTTGTACTTGATCTGAGGCTAATATAGTTCAAAAGAAAATCACAGCCAACTGTTAGCATTGTGCAAACTGCAGGCCTGAATCATACAGTTCCCTTAAACCATTTTGAGTTATTAAATAATCAAAATAGACTTGTTTATGTGGTTTCTGACATTGTATGACATACTGTTATCTATAAAATGGGACAAATGGCTAAAGAATAGCAACAGCCAGTGTCAATTTTGTACATAACAGTAAGAAATACAGTGTCAGAAACCACATATGTAGTCTCAAGTAGGCTTGCCTAACAACAAAAGTAACAACAAGTTAGGAACACAAAGCAACTATGTGATGATCTGACGATTTTTAGTACACACAACCTGCGGTAATGATGAGAACAAGCATTACTTGTATCCCTTAGCCTCATAGCTTCAGTGCAAAATAAAATAAGCAAATTTTGGACACCAGTGCTATCTCGGCTGATTTGGGGTAAAGAGGGAAATTATGCAAAATTGATTTATTTTTGCCAAACTATTGCTTTATCAGATTAAACTCTAGTAAGAAGAAGCAACCACAGTTTTACTCTCAGGGTGTGAAGAGGAATAAGCCATCCATATCTGCTTATATCCGTTCCTCTTTCCGGTTTATCTTCACACCCTTACACACACACACATACACACACACACACACACACACACACACACACACACACACAGATACACACACACACACACACACACACACACACACAGACTGCCCTGTGAATGCATGTTCCATCCACAGCTCTGTCTGCTCTTAAAATCATGTAGCATAAATTGCTCATCCCCAACTTCCTATCTCTACCATTAAACGCAGGATGAACCTTTAGCCCACTCTAACTCTGCTAGCCCAAGGCTGTTCTACAATCAAAACACTGCAGTGTGTTTCGCCACTTCTGCATGTGCCCACTGAGTGCCCAATCGAGTTTTAGTTTGTTACATTAGTGGCAGCTCGACAAGATGCAGCTGCTCGCTTTGCATATCTTCGAGGAAGCAAGTTCTAGCCTTCATTCTCCAAGCTTGGTACCATCAAGTGATGGAGGAGACCTAACCACCAGATGGAAACTGACTTTTAGTGGCAGCAATGTTGCAGGGCAACTAATCACTTTAGTGGCAGCAACGTTGCAGTGTGGCTAATCACGTTTAGCGGCAACAATGATGTACTGCATCTAATCACTTTTCTTAGCGGCAATAACGTTGTAATGTATCTAATCACTTTTAGAGGTAGCGATGTTGCAATGGAACTAATTACTTTTAGCATTAGTGATGCTGTAATGTAACTAATCATGTTTAGCACCAGAAAAGTTATAATGGGTCTTATTCCTTTTAGCAGCAGTAAAGTTGTAATGTAACTAATCATTTTTTTGCAGCATTGAAGTTGTAATGTAACTAAGTACTTTTAGCGGCAGTAAAATTGTAATGTGACTAATTACTTTTTGCAGCAGTAAAGTTGTAACTAATTACTTTAGTGGCAGTAAAATTGTAATGTGACTAATTACTTTTTGCAGCAGTAAAGTTGTAATGGAACTAATTACTTTTAGTGGCAGTAAAATTGTAATAGAATGAATTACTCTTAGCAGTGGT